GGGTTCAAAGGGGTTCTTTGAATCTCAAAGACTGTAAAGCTAGACTGTGCATCCTGTATCACCATCCACACCATTGTTTTTGCTTTTTACTCTCTTCTTTCAATTTTCATGTAGCCTCTTCAGCCTTGGGGCTATGTCATCCTATCTACTAACTAGTACATTGGATTCTGATACTGCCTGGGCTTTGAGGACACTGCTGTAGAACAAATCATCATCGTGATCAATACCTGGGAAGCTGTGACATTGTTAGCTGTGAACTTGGCTCAATGACTCCATTAGTGCCATCAATATACATCCAATGGCCATGTGAGCAGCTATGTGATGTAGCAGCAGTCACTTCAGAAGAATCATTGACTGACTCAGTGCACAGACACAGAACTGACAATTAAATGAACTAACGGCTTCTATTTACTTTCCATAATCAATTCAAGCTACAGTGCAGTCATGCAGGGAAAGGTTAGGAACAGCATGACCAAGCCTGAGCCACAGTTCCCATTTTGTGGCACATTCTCTCCCAATACAGAGTTTTCCTGTCAAGGGCAAATAAGACATCTTAAAAATATTTTTTCCCAGTTAATCTTAAAGGTACCCTTTCAGACATAAGGGAAAAGATTGCGGACAAGAAAAGTATGCAACAATTAAGTGGAGCAGCTGCTGAGTGGGCTGCAGATCTTGTTGCAGAATGGAGTCTACTGAGAATCTGCATATAACCCATACCTGGGTCTGATTCTTTGCTGTCTTTCATAATAGGTATTTAGAACTGTGCAAAGACTGTGAAACATGGTCACTCTGAGAAGACTTTTACAGCCATTTGGCAGCCCACAGAGCAACACAGTGGAGAGCTGGTCCCCAAAGCTGGCACAGCAGCTCTGTGCCATTACATGCAGTAAAACCTACATTCATGTATGTATGCTTTTCCACGCTCCTCCTCATCCACTTTTTTTCTTCATCCTGGATACAGGAATGGTTTGTTTACTTTTCATATCCCTTTCCTATCTGAAAAAGGTACAGAACTCTTTAAAACTGATAAAACACTAGGTCACACTGAAGTGGTTTTGTGAAACTCATCCAAGTTCCTCAGTACAATTGACGTGGTTTCCTTTTAACATAGATGTGGCAGAGTTGAATAGATTCCCTAGAGACTCCACAGTTATTTTCAGTAGCTACAAAAGCCCATCCCAAACATAACTTTCAATCTGTTCATCCCTCCTTGAATACTAAGTTGAGCCTTTTCCTCTTATAATAATGTACTGAAATCAACTCTGTACATCAAAAACACCTCCAGCACTTCAATACCACCTGATTTACTTTCCAAGATACGTGTTCTAATGCCACAATTACCCCCATTGTTGGATGAAGATCAGGCCAGAAGTATTGCACAATGCCTTTTATCTAGCCCTACCAGAATGGGAAGTTCCACTGGGAGGTACACATTTATGTCAGGGGCAGCATATAGCACCTTGAAATTTAAAAGAAGCATTAATGAAGAAAGGATGCACCCAGAGGACAGCACAGATTTAATGCAAGCCAGAAAGTGTTTGGAGTCCTTAAAAAAAATCAATGAACTTTTAAAATAAAGTGCCAACTTAGTAGTAGTTCTATTTAACAGCATCGGTCAAAAGCAACACCAGAGAATTTACAAATTTTTTTGGCCAGGCCTTTATATTAAGTAAGTATGAGAATTCACCACCATTGGGCTTCTAACCCATCTGTATAGATACAGGATTTCTGCAAATACAATGCAAATTGAGTTTTGGCAAAGCCATGGTTATTATGGAAGCGGTAACTTTGATTTTTTTCAGTAACTGCGTACACATAATTTCACTAAAGTCTTACACTACAACAATGAAGTTCGGAAACTGTTTTCATGGTGTTCATGTTATTTTCTCCTGGACTGCAAGATTATTTTCAAGATGTATTTTTTGATTGTGATCACTCATTCAAACAAATGCATCATTTACAGATCACATTTGTCTCACAATTGACACACTCCAAGTTTATACAACAGTGTACCTGCTCTTTCCAACAATTTGCATGCAAAGTCTGAAAAATTTCTCTCCTACAAGGAAAAAAAATCCTACCCATATACATGCTAGACCCCTTTAATGTCTTTTCAAAAGGAGATGGGTCTCAGGATAAAATGCAAGACATGAAAGGCCCGAAGACTGCGTACAATTCTCTTGTGAAACAAGAGACATGATGCTCTGACAGCGCAGCCAGCCTTCAAGCATTCCTATACGTCAGCAATCCAACCTGTCTTCAGTCCCACAGCACAGCTGCAGTCCCAGGGGGTGGTTTCCCCCAGGCCCATAATGCCAGGCTGGTTACTGGCTCTGACATCCCTGGCACCGGCCCTTTCACAATTCTGCATGTCTCAGTCCCTTCTCCGAGTGCAAGTATCTGTGCACGGTGGCTGATCAGCCACAGTACCCAGCACAGAGGCACCGTGATGACAGTGCATACCTAGAATGTAAAAGGGCATCTGAATAACTTACCCTGACAGATAACAGAGCCAGTTAAAAACAGCGACACAATGTATGTGCAGCTGTACAGAAATCTGTAACAAAGGAAAAGTGCAGCACTATCCTATCTCTGCTCACAAGAGAATTTCGACTGACTTTGCTGGGCACTGTATCAGCCAAAAAGCAGCAAATACACAGTATTTTGTTGTCTTAAGAGATTTCTCAGTTGCATGACACATTCATTCAAAAGGTAACTTCAGTTTCCTATTACTATGAATGCATTAAGCTAGGTTAAATAACAAGCACAGTATCACAAATATTCTTGAAGCCATTTTGTTTATCTTCTGGCATTGAATTCGAAATGACTAAAAACATTTCAAAATTTGTGAAAATAATTTGTAAGCCAAGTATTATCATCATGGAAGCTCATAGAAGTGCTCATGCCTTGCACTGGAAAAATATGAATACCGCAATGTATTTGGCATGATTACTGGGCAGAACAGGTCGTAAAAACCATTTAGAGTGGTACTAAGTGGTTGTATTATTAAATTTCATTATATTGCTTAAGACAGCAAGTACATGGTCTCCTTCTATTTTTTAAATTAGCGTCTACATGGACTTAGCTGTCCCTTGTTAAATGTCATGTAACCATTGACCCAAAAAAGTAATCGATCAACTGAACAACATAGAAAGATTTAGCATCTGTATACAACACAGCAGCCTTTTTGTAGTTTGTGTACCTAAGACGAAGTACTACATAACACCTTCAGTGCTGCTCAGAAAAATGTGTCTTGAAAAGGAAATGAATTAGAATTACTTTAGCTGCCCTGTTCTAGGATTACAGCCTAATGCCGAATTTTGCCAGGACACCAGTCCTGATCTCCGCCTATTCCTGTCACTCACTGGGGGCAGACAGGAGATACAGCGGGCAAACACTTCATTTTGCATACATTATTGACTTCTCAGTTTTCAGTTCACCATCAGTTTGACATCAGTAGGAACAGTGATCAAAAAGAAGACAAGGCCTGGTGTGTGACCAGCACAAAAGACATTTCATTCTCTGACTGCAAAGGATTACATAGAACATTAAGAACCAACTTTTGCAAAACCCAACTAGTATACACCTTGTTGCAAACTGCTGAAAGGTGTACATCACCAATATCTACACTACCAACCATTTACTAGGTTCACCCTACCTCCCATTGCTTCACACTTCCCCCTTATAAAGCCGGTCTCAATATAATGGTCCCTCCTGCACACCCAACAAGTACACCCACTGAGTATTGAAATAGTTCTCCCACCTATTCTGTCCTGAAGAAACTATTAAGCTTTAACGTGCCACACAACCCACTGCTGACACCAAAAGCAACACTTCCAAGAACAGATTTTGTTCAACACCTTTGAGCCTTTGTATGACAAGATGTCAGCAGCCCTGATCAAGCAGTCATAGAATCACAGTCCTAGAATGGTTGAGGTTGGAAGAGACTTCTGGCAGTCATCTGATTCAACCATCATGCTCAAGCAGGGCTACCTGAAGCAGGTTGCTCAGGACCATGTCTAGATGGCTTCTGAGTATCTCCAAGGACAGAGACTTCACATCCTCTGAGGGAAACCTGTGCCAGTGTTTGACCACCCTCACTGTGAAAAAGTTTATCCTGATGCTCAGACAGTTCCTCCTGTGTTCTAGTTTGTACCTGTTTGAGTCTATAGCCTGATAGAGATAACAGGGAACAGTCAGCTGGGGTACTGGGCAGAGCTGCAAGACAAGCAGGCATTGCTATATGAAAAGACAGAAACTACTCCAAACCTTTCTATGCACAATTATAAGCTCCATACACATAGGGACCAGATTTTCCCTTCTTTAGTGGTCCCATCATGAGGTTTGTGATACAGCTTCTGACAAGCACAATTTGCACTCTTCATGCTCTCCTATCCCTATCAGAAGATCAGCCTCAATCTCTTCAGTGCAGGGCATACTTAAATAAATTAGAGTGAAACTTCTGCAAACTGTCATCTGGAAAGGGCCAAAAAGCCTAATTTTCTGCATTACAGAAGCTTGGGGGCAGGAGTTTGAATCTTTGTTCTGTTTTCCTTTTTTTTTTCTTTGGTAAAATATCAGTTTAATGCTTTTGGAAAGATTTTTCCTTTTTTTTTTTTTTTTGGTGGCCATATCATCAAAGCCTATTAATGTAATACTTGCTATCGTTCATTTACTGGAGAAAACTCGTTAAACACATGTCACTTCAAAACTGCGTGACACAACATGAAATTGAAATGACCTTTATTTTGGCACGCTACTGCACTGAGTTAGAGTATTACTAAGTCCCAAGCATTGCCTGTTTACAAATGCCAGTCAGGCTTCTACTATAGCTCTAATGTGCTCAGAGACTGTACAGCCAACAAGCAACTGTAACTAACTGCAAAAAGAGAAGTAGCTGTGAATCCACAGCTTACCAGGCGAAAAGCCACTACCCTGAGACAATAGATTATGTTGGAAATTTGACTGAACAGAAGTGGAAACTTTGACCAATTACTCACTTTTGTCAGATGCTGTTTCAGTGTTTGGCCTCCTGTCCTGCAATCCGTGAACTTGCATCTTGGGTCTAGGTTACTTCTTCCTATCCATACAGTTCTCACACCAAGTCTGTAAGAGTGACAGCTGAATGAGTCACAGTCATGCTTAACTTCAAGCACAAAGGTGTCTAATTCTTAGTCTTAAAAATGCAGGACTGCACCATAAAAAGCCACAGGCTACATCACAGATCTTCAAAGCACTGCCACAGAGTGAACAGATGTGTATGTCAACCCTCTTGCACCCACCGTCCCAGTTTCAGGACTCAGCATAGTCAAACAAGAGTCAGATTTCCACTCATTTCCTGAGGTTGCTCAACAGCCTTGGACAGCATCAAACAGATGCTGTGGATCACTAAGTTTCTGTCCCCTGGACCTTTTAACACACATTCAGCCGTCCCCCTTTCTCATCAGGGGACTCCTCCTGAAAGGTGCTGAGCTCCAAGACAAAGCACAACTGATTCTTATATATGTTCCAACAAGGGCCTCCATGGCTATAGCAAATGCAGCATTTCACTATGTCCAACTGAGGTCCTTCTCATGAGGCCTAACAACACAAAAGACATTCTGTAATATCTCCCTTTGAAACCAAATTAGTAATGTTTCAAGGCGTGACCCGTAAAGGGCTGCTGTCCAGAATCTACATGTGTCTAACAGATACATCTTTCACCTAACAGGCCTCTTCAAGATTACAGATGGAAACAAGATGTGCTAACAGAGCTCCAAAAAGAGAGCCATGGGGTATCAGGATACACAGCAAAGCATTCTATCTCAACAGATAAAAAGGAAACAATATCAAATACAGTGTAAAGTAGTTCACTCCAGCTGTCAGGACATGCTCTGACACCATTATATAGGTGAGATTATTGCAGAGGAAGATGCTATTCCATATGTGCAAATGCTAGCAAAACATAGCCAGAGTGAACTATATAGCCCCGTGCCATCTCCTTATAAAGGTTTTACAAAGTCATGATCTCCTCTTCACATATGTTCATACACTACAGAATGCTAGAAGTTACCGCGGGCTGTAGCTGTGTATACCCAGCTACCCTGGTGGGCTGGAGACTAGAGTCTTGTCATGGTTTAAGTGGTTCTGAGCTACCAGCTGGTCTTAAACCAGGACAAGTCTTTACAAAGCAGCTTGTTTTTACCTAGCCAGCTAGCCATTTGTTAGGTGAAGGACTAACCTTGGTAACTTATACACAATGTACATTTGGTTTCAAAGGGCTAATAAAGATCGGGGACAAAATTTTGGAAATAAACACTAGTGTACCTCATGGCACAGAAACTGTGGGTCTTGAGGGTAAAACAAAATAAACAGAAAAGTTAGAAAAGATGGATTTTCAAGTTTACCATGATGAATGTGCTTATTTGCCAGAAAAGCAACCACTCCATTGTCCTGTAGGGTGAATCTCTCTGGAGCAGGAGTATAAAGATGAGAACCCCTTTCCACAGTGTATGAAAATGAGAAAGCATTCGGTGGTTGGCCATTCCAAACATCCAAAGGTCCCATTTGACCGTATAGAGAATTAATTTAAAGCAGGACAACTTCCTAATGCAGGCCAGGCCTCAGCTCCATAATTCATTTTCACATAAATTATGGAAGAAAAAGAAAATCACAGTAGTATATCAAAAACCCCTATAACAGCCAAATAAAATGAAACACCTGTTGGCAGGAACTCCACCAGCTACTTCTTATTGCCAGTGTCTCCCATGTGAAAAGGGGACATGACTAGAGATGAACTATGTATATTATACAAGATGAGAAAGTCCAAGGCAAGGCCCTAAAAACAGGTAAGTTGTGCAATCTACACTACGTGTCAGGGGCAGCCACTTCTGAAAAGAAAACAGATACTTCAGGCTAGGATTAGGCTAAAACACCAGAGACATGCCTGTGACTGACAATAGGAGAGTCCGCTGATGATATAACTTAACTTAGACTGCAAGTGGCTTGTTCCCCAACGACCTTCACGTCCTGTCTCTGCTAAAACTGGGAACAGCAGTCATTTCAGGAAATTGAACAAATTGTTGCCTTCTCACAAAAAGGACAGGGGAGCATGCAGCATCACACAGTTCTGAGATAAGGTTATAGCCAAGATTTCACCTAACCTTTCACTTATCAACATTTTCAGCTGCATTTGATTAGTTAAAAATGCCATAAATCACTGACCAACACTTATGATTTTCATGGTTTTTTTTCCAGGAAATTCCTTTAGTGACCAGGGAGCTGTCACAATGATAACAGACTATATGCAAATGCCATCCTGCTAACTGTGACATACCCCTGAGACATACACAATATGAGATTCAAATCCTGATATGAAGGACCAACCCAAATGAGGTGGGGAATTACCTTGCTCTCCGTGTTCAAGCAGACCTTCCTGCTGGGACTGCGAAAGTGGTAACTTGTGAGGTTGACTTTGGTCATTAACAGCTGTCCTTCAGGATAGGAGTGAGAAATTCAAACCACTATCACTAGAATCTGATGATGAATGACTTAGCACATGAATCCTAGTGGGGCTGCAGCTCTCTCTGATGTATTATAAACCTAGTTAAACCTTTGATTAAGGAGTTAATAAATGAATGGTAACCTCATCATTCTCATCAGTGTATCTGCATCAGCAGCAGAGTAAACACCCTCCCATTGTATCTGAAGCTAGAAAGTAGGAGTAACTAGTATTTTCCATGTGACTTGTAGATAAGTTTGGCCCTGGAAACTGTGCTGTTGAAGCAGTGGCTTAAACACTAGTAGAGGAAGCTTTTTGCTTTAAATTTAGAAAAAAAAACACACACTAAAACAACAACAACAACAAAAAAAAAAAGCCCCAAAACTACTAAAAAAACAACAACAACAAGAAAAGAAAAAAAAAAAAAAAAAAGCACACAAAAAACCCAACACATTAAAACTAGGACTAAAGCCTAGAGATCAGTCTGTCTCATGACTGTCACTCAAGTTAGGGAACACGAGCCGATGCTTACACACGGAGTTCCCCCCTAGAGTGGTACCTCTTTCTTTTCAGTTTATCATGACACATTTACAGCTTTGTCTTTCAGCAGTCCCTACAGAGACTCCAGGGACCCACACTGGCCCTTCTTGTTATTTTTCTTGTGCTACTACTGCTTAGAGCCAATAGAAAATATTCAGCAAGGAATTAAGAGTCTGTGTTGATGTGATTTCTGTCATCCCTATATATCCTGGATTAGGTTAAACATATTCTTTCCCCCCTTCCCTGCTTCAGCACTGCTTCCAAATGTGTATGGTACAGAAGTAAGCTTGCATTACTACATCTGTACTAGAAAATTGAACCAGCCTGGGACTGTTCTTCATGATTACAACTACTGGTTGCAGACAGTTCGTATTCATACAATTTAACCCTCTTAGCCTCCAAAACAACATGGTCAGCTACCTGTTCAGAATTGGTCCCTGTTTGGAATTAATCCCTGAACAGTGCCCATAAACTCTTTGGGAGAATCCTAGTTGGCACAGGTCTAAAGTCTGCCAAGGATTCTTCTAATGCTTTAAGTGTAGACAATGCAGTGCCTGGGAATGTTTCCTCACAGTTTTTTTAGTAGTAAAGACATTGCTGTAGAGAACAGAAAAAGAAACTCAAAGTCATACACAATCCAATCAATGTCTAGTGCTTTGGTTTTACAGTTGCTTTCATTTTCATTTAAACTCCTGGTCAAAACCACCTAACAACCCACCAATATCATATCCTACTGGTTTATGAAACTACTTAATGCTTCTATGAACATCCTGATTAGCTCTAAATGTACTATCAAAATTCATTATGTTAGACACAATAAACACTATGGGTACATATTATACAATCACACCCATAAGTGATACAACCCTTTAAGACCAGAAGGGGTCTATCTGTCTTTCAAACCTCCATGGAGAAACATAAGAGACTGAGTCTTCCCTAAGGGGGTACCCAAACTGTATTGTTAGCAGATCTAAAACAGAAACTGAGTTATATTAGAAAGCAAGCAAGCATTTACAGCTCTCTACTCAAGGACAGAGTTTCCCTACTCTTGTCTGAATGTGACAGGTCCAATACTAAGGTCACTGAGTTTTGGTTATTCAAGCATGTTGAAGACCAGATTGGACACAGCTTTGAGCAACCTGGTTTAGAGGAAGGTGTCCCTGGCCATGGTAGTGGGGGTGGAACTAGGTGATTGTTAAGATCTCTTCCAACCCAAACCATCCAACGATTCTATGACAATTGTACAATTCACTTTTGATGTAGAGTTGATCTCTTCCTGTTCAGTTATGCAGCTAGGCCACATCACCCCTCAGTTCCACTGTCCTTTCTCAAACAGATATGCAGACACAAGGACAGTGGCTTTAAATCCTTACAGGGTGGAAAAGATCTTCTGTGCTCAGAGACAAAAATCCCTGTCTCTCCCTGGTATCATTACACAGTAGCAATAACTCCAATGTGTAGCAACCACATTTAGCTTTATGGAATAAAACATAACAAGCTGTCAAAGAGTGCATTAATAAATTAGAGTCATTATTCCAGCCTAAGGTTCTGGGGACATAAACAATCCTCTTGAAGTTTGCTGTGACATATTTTGCAGTGGGAGCCAAGCATTAAAATTATGTCCTGTATACAGAGAGCTGTAAATGCATTCTGTCTTAGGGCCTGGCACCACAGCACAGAAATCAACAGGCCTGCCTTGGAATAGAAAATAAAGCAGTCCAGGGCCAATTTCCTGCCCCTGAGCACAAGTTTTATGGCAAAGCCAATGTCCATATGGCTAAACTCTGTCCTTCTGCTCACTCTCCAAAGAGGAGTCCTCATCCGTATCTGCCAGCTTGGAGTAGTCCCTGGTTCATGCTGATGCCTTAAGCCATATCCTGACACCACTGCAGAGAGTGCCGCCTGGTGCAGACAAAACCAGGCAAGGGAACGTGCTAACAGTTAAACACCACAGGTCACAACATGCCACAGCTCCTGGCCCTGGCCCTGTTCAGGCTACCAACAGAGATATATTCTGGGACTTCTGCTAGGATATTACCCTAAAATATGCTTACCTTTCCATAAGTGACTTCCAGTTGCAGAATAA